TTTATAGATTGTCTATTAATCAATTTTTTTTGATTTATACTTTTAAAAGTGTATTGTTTTATTTGCCTTTCTACTAATTTATCAACAAATGTTGACTTGTAAATTTTATTTTCATAATTTAAACTAAGTTAGCATATTTAGATTAAGTAAAATAGATAAGGTCAATTTATCCACGGTAAAACAAATAAGATTATAGGGTGATAATGTTTTTTGAAACATTAAAAAATTTGTTATCATTACCGGAAAATCTTTATTTAAAATGTTTAGTAAAGAAATAAATATTTTTTTATTAATCCCTCTTAAGGGACTCCAATTCGAGTCTTATTTTAAATCAAACTTATTTAGTATCAGCAGTAACAAAAATTTGAGCCTTTCTCTGTGGATGTGGATTCTTGTAAGAGTAAGTAAAATTTAGGTATTCATTTTTCTGACTATGTCTTTAAATAGTTAGTAGATTGCTCATTTTCTTTCATCATTAAATATATTTATAATAGAGTTCACCTCTTTTTGCTTATCTAGATCAATTATTACAAGAATTATAATAGCTATTAGCAGAAGCTTCCACTAAATCATTGGAATTTTAAGAAGAATGCTTCTAAATTAGTCTGTCTCTGATCTAAGATCCGCTTAAAGGTGTTACTATTTTCTGACTATGTTAAAGAAATTTAAAAAATTAAAAATATAGTGATGTCATTTACTTGTTGGCAAAAATTAATAATTTTTTCATGCTTAAAATTAGATTAGTGAATATGTAAGTTGGACTATAATTTAGAAAATATGAAAAATAATGTATCATTAGGTAATTTAAAATACGAGAAAAATTTCCATTTGTTATTATATTCCAATTTCAAAAGAATAGGCTATAATTTATCAGATTAGCCAATAATACTTTGATGATAATCAGTGATAAATAGAATAAATTATGGGTACAACCTAAGGCTGAAACAATCAATTTAGGAGGTTTAGAATATATACCAAATTTCATCGTCAGCAACAATGGGCGACTTATTTAGGAAACTTTTTTAAGGAATTTTCTACCGCATTCGATAACAAATTGCGCATCTGTCCATGTGATCATGTTTGTACCAAAAAAGATCATTAAATAAATTAAGGCCACAAAACCTAACAGAGAGAGAAGTTAAATTTATAGAATATTAAATAAAAAGGATTCGGTGGGATGTTAGCCTTTCAAGGAGAGTCTCAATGGGTTCTAACCAAGGTAATCAAATTATCGAGGAGTTACGGTTATTAGATCCGAGAGCAGTAAAGTTTGTCTTAGCCGATAATTCGAGAAAGGAAAAAATAAATTCCGGCTTTCTACGTGGGATTAACCGATTGTCTCTATAGAAATAAATCAATTTTAAAAGGGCCAATAATTTCCCTGAGTTATATTACTGTTTCACATATTTTAGGCCTTTTGGGTTTTTTTTTAAACACAAATTAGATTATTTGCACATGATAAAATACATTTAAATGAATAGCTTGAATTAAGCATGAGAATTTATACTGATTAATCGATGAAATATCGATTTAAAGTGAATACATTTATAGTTATGAAAAGAGTATTAATAAAAATAATTAAATGAAATTGTAATACCAAGTATATACATGTTAATAATTTTTTTTAGAGAAGTATTAAATTTCAAACCAAAAAAATATTTGTAAATGGAATTCAACACTTTTATAAATTCTTACAAATTCCTGATTATATCTCAATATAAACGATTAATTTTATTTTTCGTGCATCATTATTCTTAAAATTATAAAAAAATATACTAAGGCATTAATTTTTAAAATTAGCCTTTAGGACATTATACAATCTTCTAACGTATATAGAAATAAAACCATCTTATCTTAGAAAAATGGCGAGATTAAAATGGGGTGTGATTCAAGAAATATGAAATCTAATTGGATAATGATGTTTTTAGCAGATTTAACTTTCATTTAATAGATTTCAAAAATTATTTGCTATTTATATAATTTTAATTAAAATATACTTTCCTGATTTTTTTATTCGTCTGATCTCACTTGCAAAAAGCATTGATATTGATGCATACAAAGAAAGGACATGCAAATATATCTAAAATTTATAGATATAGATTTTATTCTAAGATTAAATAGAGCATTTACATTATATAATGTTGTGGAGAATTACTAGAATCTTTCCTTCTTTGAAATATATGTTCGGATTCTAGTTAAAGTAATAGTTCTAAAATAAGGCAAAGGATTTAAATTTGGTTATTTGGAAGTTTCTCTAAAATTTTACTTGTATTTGAAGGATTAAAAAACTTGATTCCTCATTTATACAAGGTAAAAACATTTGTTTATTTATATATATTACCTTATTATGCCAACAACAGCCTTCAAGTAAAGAAAAAACCTGATTAGGCAATTAAAATAAGATTTACGAGAAATATAAAATATAATAGTGATAGCCGATTTAAGAATGAATAACAGTAACTATTAAAAATCTTATTTTGAGAAAGAGAAATGAAGTTGAATAAAAAGAGCTAAAATTGACAAAAATCCTTGGAAAGTGTGAAGGGGAATTGTGTTTAAATTGCCTCAGGGAAACGTTTGCTTCAAACGGACACCCATCTATATATCTTCAAAATCTGCAAAATATTATTAGATAAGAGACTAAATGCATTAGTATAGTTTTTTCGTTTCGACCATCAATTCGAAAATAGTTTTATGAGTATTTATTTTGTTTAGATATTGTATCAATCATGATTAGTCAATTTGAGCTAGCGGGGCTTGCTAAATCATACACTTAATTATGGAGTTAATATGAAAAAAATATTTCAAAATCTTGGAAAGAAAATCATGTCTGTGTACGATAGGTATTTAGGATTTATGCTAAGAATTTATAATCTTTTCCTTAAGATCCTTATTTTATATGTGCAAAATGTTTATTAAATTAACAAAAATTAAGTTACAATTTATATATAGCTTCATTTTAAAGTATTGGAATATTTTAAACAATAAAATAATTAAATTATTCTATACGTATCAAATAAATTAAAATGCATTTCAATTCATTAGCCTAAAAAAAATAGTTTAGGAAGTCCCTTGTAGTGATTTGCATAATCCCGCTATTGGGGCTTGTTAGTAAAATTTCAAATTTTACAAAAAATAAAATTTCAAAAATATTATTATATTCTTAAAAATATAAGGCATCTTTATAGACTATAGTTATAGATATTGCTTCATATATTGTTTATAATATTTTTTAAAAAACATAGGACTTATAGCCTATTGTCAAAAATTTGACGAGCCCCAATCTAATATTTTTATAATTATAATAACAGTTAAAATAATTTTTTATCTCTCCTGAACAATTTTAAAAATGCTACTTACGAAGTCTTGCAGTGGTTACGACGAAGGAAATAAATATGTAATTTATTCAAAATGTTAGCTTGAAATATTTAAATTTTAATACTCTGGCTGGCCTATTAAAATGTTAATAAAAATCAGATATTTGCGAAGTCTTGACTGATTTTTATTTATAAATTTCCCGGCCCGTCCCGTTATAATTTTTTAAAAAATTAGCCTGGTCCGACCCATGGATAGGGTTTTCGAAAGGTCGGGTAGATTTCTAATACATACGAAGGATTAAAGCTCAGTTTAAAAAAATCTTTCATGTGTTTTTCAAATATTACATGAGATTATTGGTGGTCGTTTTTAATTGTGATAAATAGGTATTGTCAACGATTTTATATAAAAATTATTATTTCGTATTTAATGGAAGTGTGAGATGATATAAATAACTGGTTATAAAATTTTTTCTGCAGCCTTATTAAAAAAATAATTAAAATATACCTATTAGGTATTTTATGGATCTTTTTTCAGCCAATATGAAATCTATTAATAATTTTTCAAATTATCTTACATCCCCATTTGTCGTAAAAAGAGTAATTTTGAATCACCACACACAATTCGATTGGTCGTTGGCAATTCCCAATTTAATATAGTCTTTGGCAACATACGTAATTGCCTGAATTTGGGACAAATAAAAAAGAGAGATATGATATTTATCTAAAATAAATTTTTCTGTTATAGTGTGTATTATAATTTGAATATTGAGTGCATCTATATTGCATTTAATTTAATTGAATATTATACCTAAAATAATGATTAGTTAAATAAAAAATTTGAATATTATTTTACTATAAATATTTTCTAAGGATCGAAAAAATAGAAATAGGAAATATGATAAATGAATGAATGTGATATATTGTTCTATGATACATAATTTTTAAATATATTGTATTTATTTATAATTTTTATAGATAATAATGGCGATTTAAAATATTTAACCCAGCCCGTGTATTTTTCAAGAAATATTTTTTAGGCCCGGCTTAGGTATTTTTAAAAAAAATTTTAGTTCCGGCCTGGATATATTTAAATAAATAATAACTGCTCGGCCCGTATACCGAGGCTGGGCTTAGGGTCGGACTTGGGGCCGGGCTTAGAGCCAGGCTTGGGGTCGGGTTTAGGGCCGAGCCTGCAGGTCTCTGAGTATTATTAAATATTTTTGTTTTTTTGATAGTGATGATTTTCACGGACTAAATCAAATATAATTTTTATTATAATTTTAAAATAAATAATTTGTTTTTCATTAATTTTAATTTTATCCGCGATTTTTGAATCCTAAATTGTATACATTTTAATTTTAATTATAACACGTTTAAATGAAATAATACATTTCATTTTTTATTTTAAACACTAGTTAAAATAATCCAATCGATTTATACCTCATATTCGCGTCATTTTCTTTCTATTAGACTTTAATTATAGTTAAATGGTATTCTTGATAATAGAAAAAATTTGACAATTTTTTGTGTAGTTTATTAATTTAATAAAAACGAGAAAACTAATGTATGAAAAAAAACATTAAGGATTACATGTAAAATTCAAAAGTAGGTATTTAAGAATTCGAGTTCTAAAATTTCTTATTTCATTAAAAATACATGATACAAATTTTTATTTAAAAATAGTTCATCTTTAGAGCATGAAAACATATTTTCTACTAATAGTTCTTTCATGGAGTATCGTTTTTACAATTCAGGAAAATTGTCTCTCATCAATTATTTCTAAGATCGCCATCCCAGATAAGGAAAAGTTTGTATTATGTCAAATAATATTTCGATATCAGGTATTAGATATACCCATTTTGGGACGGTTGTCCAGTGAAGATTTACAAGGTATTTTTAATGATTATATAATTTTTTTAAATTTATATTGTATTGAAAATAAATGAATATATAAATTGAAACAACAAAGATACTTTAGATTATAAAATAAGATAATGAATTAATCTTTCAATATAGTTGTCTATATATTAACATTTATATGGTTTTATCATATTTGTAAATTAATCTCAAGGTGGTAAATAATATAAATAATTCTAAGATTCTACATGTTGTAATCATAACTAATATAAATTTTTAATTAAAACAGATAATGTCAACAGTTTTATGGATAATTCATTTTATGGAAGTCCAAGAATGAAGAAAAACGTTAAGTATCGTGTTTGGCTTAGAAACGATGGTAATTACAAAAGTATAATCGTCTAACTATTATAATAATTCGAGGAAAATATTTTTTAACATGAATTGTTTTTAACATGAATTGTTTTTTAACATGAATTGTTTTTTAATATGAATTGTTTTTTAACATGAATTGTTTTCCTGATCACCAGAAATCATAAATTTAGACTAAGTATATAATGTAAAAATCTTTTCGCTAATTTGAAATTATGAATGAAAAACAAGATAAACTTATTTTTTAATTAAATTGACTATGTTTAACACATGCGTAGCCAAGGAGAGATTCCTACCGGGGAAAGAAATTTGAAAAAATTTAAAATTACCCCTTTCTTTTCCCTCATTTACTCTTTAAGGCTAAATATAAATCTTAATTTATTTATTCAGAGTGATCAATGACATATAATACTACCTAGAGTGACGATTCATTCATTTAAGTGTGTGACAATATAAATCAGATAGTGAAATGCCATTTTGGCTTCCCATGCATTATAAAATTTTATGAAACTTTAGAAAAATCAGATTCTCCTTTATTTTAAAAAAATTTATGGGAAACCAAAATGATGTATGATCAGCTGATTAGTACTCAGCGACTCTTCAAAATGTATTTTAATGAATGGTCAATATAGGTAAATATTATATGTCACTAATATTTTCTTTTGTTAATTATAACATGAAAAATTTTATGAATGGTTACCTTATCACATACTAATAAATAAAATCAGTTATGAAAGTTATTTTATATTTTTCAAATAATCTTAAATGGTTTTGTTTATTTTATAATTAATAAAAATATTTTTTTTAAAAAAAGAGGACTTAAAAATACGTAAACATTTTGTTATTTATTATTTATGAATTAAAAAATAAACTTTAATTCATAGGTAAGTGTTCAAAAGTTTTAATATTTCAAAAAGTTTTTTTTTAATTTTATCAAAAGTTATTTTCAGGAGAACTTGATAAGATTAATTTATAGTGTGGCACTATTTTATAGCCAACCTGTGGGTTTAATATTTAAAAAGCAAATCTCATTTTTGGATTTATTAAGGGAAAGCCCCAAGAGCGAGAAATTGTCCTCGAAATATTTTATGGGTTATCTTCTAAGTAGCATATATTAAGTCTAAGTTAATTATGTTTTATTTGGAAAACAAATGACGGAATCTAGACAAAAAAAAAAGAGGGGCAATATTTGTAATTTCAAAGCTCCTATTTTTTTATTGGATAATTAATTAAGCAAACAATTTTATTTTTATATCACTCAAAATATTTTTTATTAGATTTCGATACTCTGTTGAAATATTTATTTTTAAAGTTTCAACTAGTGCAGCCAGGATTTTTCTAATAAGGGAGATAGGGCTACTAGGTGATGTTTTCCCCTATAAATTTTACTTGAGGTATTTAAGTTAACTTATTGCAGGCCTTTGGTGTTCATTTTTGGTTAGTCACTTTTTAAAAATTTACTTTTATTATTTTTCTTTCAAATTATTTTTAGTGATATATTACTTTGAAAATAGTTATTGAGATATCTCTAGGAGTGGGGAGGTAGAGTTTTTATTATAAATAATAGGAGTTGTTAAAGTATCTAGGTACAAGTATCTAGATATAAAAATATGGTATCTGTATCTAGATAGATTTTTGATTAAAGTATCTGTATCTAGATATTATTTTAGAGGTATCTGTTTTAGATACTTTTTAAGATACATTTTGATATACTTTTATTTAACGCCTTTTTATATTATAAATAAATATACATAAATGTAAAATTTATTTTATTTCATATGAGCATTTAAATTAATATAAATATATATATATAAATATATGTAAAATATTAAAACTTGTATATAAAAAAGAATATATAAATATTAATGAAATATTATGTCCGAGTTATCAATAACAAGCAAATTCTGATATTACAATCCATCTCAAGGAATTTGCCATTTTTAATTGCAATGGAATTGGTATTTTATTTTATTTATTATATTAATTTTTCAGATTAACATTGAGGACGAAAATGACGACATCCATGGCCAATTTATAGACCATATTTTAAAATAATATCTCATAATAAAGAAAACAAATCTCTGTTAGTAAAATGTTTGCCATGTTTACCAAAAAATATACAAATTTCTGTTAGCATTAGGTAACATTGTGAAGCATTTAAGGGTATAATTACTAAATATATGTTTACAATTTTAATTTTAAATTTTAAGAGAAAACATCAAACACTCCTAATCCAAATAAAAAAGGGGAAGGAGAAAAAATCTATTAAAGAAAATATTGGACTAGGCTCATCGTCCGTTTATTTTTTTCCCAAGAGACCTAAGCTTTTAACCCAAGCCATTTTAGATGATTTAATAACCAATTTTATTATTGATAGCATTCAGCCATTTTCAGTTGTTGAAAATTCATCATTTATAAAAATGATCAAAACATTAGCTCCACAAAAAAATTTAATTTGCAGACAGACAGTGGTTGCTAGAATTTCCCAAAGATGGGAGAATGAAAAGAAAGAAATTATTAAAAGTCTAATAGAACCATCGTTAATATGCACAACAGCAGATAGTTGGAGTGCCTATCGCCGGTAAACACTTAAATTTGTATAATAATTTAATTACAAACAAATTATTTGAGCAGTTTTAAGAAATGTTAATTTTTAGTTCATACATAGGAGTCACTGCACACTATATAGATCCAACAAGTTTGGAAAGAAAAAATGTAGCGTTGGCTTGTAAAAGAATGACTGGTTGTCATACATATGATAAAATAGAAAAAAATTTACAAGATATAGCAAAGGATTATTGCATACAAAATAAAATTTCAAAGACCATTACTGATAATGCCAAAAACTTTATCAAGTGATTTAGGTTTATTTTATAAGCCAATTGAAAATATTAGTGAATCCATTGATGATCTGGAAGATGAATAAACAGTTGCACCAATATCAATATCAGGTCTTTCTTTATACTACTGCTCAGGATTTTGAAATATCAGTATCATATATTTTACCTAATCATCAATGTTGCGTCAGTCACACATTGAATCTTGTTGCCACTGTAAATACAAATAGAGCCTTGCAGTGTAAACAATATCAGAGGGTAAAACTATAATTTTAATTATAATATTTTATATTTTATTCCTTAGATATATAGCACATTGTCTAAATGCCAAAATATATGGAATAGACAAAATAAATCTCAAAATTCAGCTGAGATTATAAAAAAAAAATATTGGCCGTTATTTTATATGTCCCAATATAACTAGATGGAACTCCACTTATAGTGCTTTACAATTAATGTCAGAAATTATTAAGACTAAATTTGAAAAATTGGACAAGATTTGCGATGGATATCTAATGAATGTGATTTTATTCATGAATATTGTTTAGTTATAAATAAAATTTGTATATACAGCATTATTTTAAATTAGCTAATGAAGCCAGTAGCAAGTTCACTAGGGAGATAAATATATGTTCACAGCTTATTACTGTGCACTATTTCCCAGCTCATTATTAAATTGAAAAATTTTAAACAAATGAACCTGAAATTTTGTTTACCACTCTTAAATGCCTTACTTAAAGGGATTGAAGATAGGTAAATTAATAATAAATTAATCAATATTTAATAATTCTAGGTTTATTGTGACAATTTTTGAAGATGAAAATATTTTGGCAACTATGCTTCATCCTTTTTTTAACTAGATTGGACATGGTTGCAAATGGATGAAAATTTTAATAAAAAAAAATACAAAGATTAGTTGAGGAATTATCAAAGTCTTCAAATGAGTGCAAATTAACCTCTGAAAAAAAAACCAATAATTTAATATTCGATTTTTTTCAGTATCCCACAGCAGGAATATGATTGTTAATGATTTAAATTCTGATGATCAACAAATTTTAAATAGTTTTTTCAAAAATGAATGCCGAGATTTTAGTATTTTTAAACAATATCCTGATATAAAAATGTTATTCATTAAATATAATACCACAATCCCTTTCAGCGCCCCTGTTGAAAGACTTTTTAGTATAGCTAAAAATGTCTTTACAGATAAACGAAGATGTCTTAATGACCAAAATTTTGAAAATATTTTATTACTGAAATCTAATAATTATTTATAATCATTTAATCATATATTATATTATTTTATTAATGATATATAATAATTATTTATATTAATCATATATTATTTTAATATCTAAAAATCATTATTTTAGTTATATTTTGATAAATGTGATATCGAGTCAATAAATATTTTAGATCATTTCATGAATTTTCACAATAGAATCCTAATTTAGGTTTATTCAAACCTTATCTAAGAGTATACTAAAAATTGTATCTGTACCTAGATACATTTTAAGTTGTATCTGTATCTAGATAACTTTTTAAAAGCTGTATCGGTATCTAGATAAATTTTTAGACTATGTATCTGTATCTAGATCCATCTAAAAAGTATCTTTTAACAACTCTGTAAATAATATTTAAGAGAACATGTAATATTCTCGAATGGGGGAGAAACGTCCCCACGTCCTTTCTTCTCTTGCATATGCCTACCACACACCAGGGTCTAGACCCAAGGACCTAGAATGATAATTAATGGCTCTCAAATAACATTTTTATTAGCTTTTATTTGATAAAATAGTTTTTCACCCCCTCCCCACTCCTCGCCAACTTAGACCCAAGACCCTAGGACTTGGAATGATGATTAATTTTAAAAGAAATAAGACAAATTTTTTATTTGATTTCATTAAGATATTTCTTATAAAGGTTTTTACAAAATAAACAGTATTTGAAAAGATAAAAATTTTAAATAACAAAAATTTCTGAGCGATTTTAATAATTTTTAAAAAATTATGAGAAAATCAAAATTATTAGATATAAAATAAATCTGAATAAGTTAGTCAAAATTCTTAGCTTACAGTATTTTTAATCGTTAGTAAGGAAAAATTCTATCCTTAGTAAAGAAAAATTCTGTATGTTTAGTTTTTATCTTAGCGTAATAATATATGTTATTTAAAACACTAATTTTATATTATTTAACTAATCTCCCCACCCATAGATTTTTTATAACCCCCGAGAAAGAAAGAAAGAAAGAAAGAAAGAAAGAAAGAAAGAAAGAAAGAAAGAAAGAAAGAAAGAAAGAAAGAAAGAAAGAAAGAAAGAAAGAAAGAAAGAAAGAAAGAAAGAAAGAAAGAAAGAAAGAAAGAAAGAAAGAAAGAAAGAAAGAAAGAAAGAAAGAAAGAAAGAAAGAAAGAAAGAAAGAAAGAAAGAAAGAAAGAAAGAAAGAAAGAAAGAAAGAAAGAAAGAAAGAAAGCTTTTTCTCCATGAAAATCTTGTTTTACGCCTGGACATAAATTTATATTTTTTTTGGTAATCTTTTAGTTAATTTGTATATTTATTTTTGATAATGCTCTTATCACTAATTATCTAAATAAATTTATTGATTTATTATCAGCCTATATTTGGAGTTTAATCATTATTTGTTTTAAAATAACTTGGATGATGCCATAATTTCTTTCAAATAAATAAGTTTTTAGATAAATTGTTGAAATTTTAAGTAAAATATTATAAATAATAAACGATTCAAAATATAATTTATTTTTATCAAATAATTTAATTATTAAAGCACTGAAATATTTTTTTCTTTTATAAAACAAATATCTAGATGAATTCTCAAAAAAAACCAATTATCCATTTCTAAGATTTGGAAGATAATTATTATTCAATGGTAACTATTTAAGCTTCATATATAAAATTATTTTATGGAATATTTTATACTAAAGGCAAAATTTATATATAAACATAAACTTTTATATACAACTTTTTACATTATACAAATTAATTTTATTTAACTTATTAATCGTGTCCTTTATTAATCAGTGCATTAGTATATACGTGATTTATAAATTTCATATAGTAATTAATTTTACCGTTATAAATAAAATTATGTTTATAATATCAATAACTCTTTAAAAACATATGAATAAGATTTATTGTAAAACATTTCATTTCCTTGTTAGGGAAATCAAGGCGGGAATCATGGTAATGCAAGAGTTAGAACTCCTCAACCTTATTTATAATTAACTTCATCTAAATAATATAGTCGAATAGGTATAGTTAGGCATTTGCTTTTGAAGGGGGATAAATTTTTAAAATATTCTAAAATAAAATTTGAATTTTATCTTGGAGTTTTTTAACATCTGAAATTTAATAAATTTTTTAGGACTAGTTGCTATAAATAAATTGTGGATTACTAATAGCCAAATTTTAAAAATTTATTTCCAATTCCGATGTATTTTTTTGCAAGATTTTTGGCCCGGCCAAAATTATTTTTGTTTTTAATCAATTTATTGCCCAGACCAGAAAAAAATTTAAAATATCCTTATTTTCAAAATTGTTTAAAAGAGAAGTTGAAAATGCGAGCAGTAAATGATAACAGCTCTATTATAAAATTTTAAAACATTTTCCAATTGAATAATCAATATATCGAAAAAAATTAAGCCTTACGAGGATTTTTAGAATATAATTTTTCGCCCCGTCCTGGGTCTCTACTTAATGCATTAAACAAAATCAAATTTAAGAGGTAAAAACAATAATATTATCTATCGTATTATAATATTACTAGCAGCAAATCCATCAAGAATGACAGGCGATTCGGATATTTCTGTTTCGTTTGAAGATGGATGAATTAAAAATTTTATGAGTAAATCATAAATGCATTTGTTGCGATATGATTCCTTAATTGTATATTATTTTTAAAATATGTTAACAGTCTAAGGTACCTTCAATATGAACAAATACTCTGTACATAATGACCATTATAGAATAAAGAAGAAAATTCTGATTCCCGATAAAATAAATAGAAGATAAAAAAACTATGTGAGATAATAGCGAGGTTTATATCTAGAAGAATATAGGTATATTCATTGTTTGATGAGGTAGTGAGATACTTAAAATTGAAAGCTTAATGTAAAAATACATATATGGTAAGACCTGATTATATGTTTTGTGTAAATAAGATTTAATATACAAAATTAAATAAGAATAAGCATAAGAGACAATCCACATAAATTGAAATGTGTTATTAAAGAACAATATAAAAACTTATATAACTCAAAAATTTTGATTATAATAAATGAAATAATTGTTCTATTGAAAATTAAAATTATGATCTCTCAGATAGTAGTATATCGTTTATGTCTGGACTTAGTATATAAAATCAAGATTCGGATATTTTAAAGGTTGAATGTAAATATTATAAATTGAAGGGATAAATATTTTACTCATTTGGCCAATAAACCAATATTATAAAGAGGTCAAATAATTTAACTATAATCAAATTGATCCTATCTGAAATATCATATATTTCTCATATGCAGCTTTCAATATGTTACATAGAGATAACGGTGGTGATAGATAACGATGGTGTTTTTTATTTATAATAAATTTATTCTAAAACTAAAAATGATACTAAAAATAAATATAAAATAAGGTATATATATATGTATTATAAAAAAACAATTTAAACGAAATATATAGTTAAAGGCTATAATAACAATTTAAGTTAAATAAAAATCTCGATTAACACAATAAGAACCTCATTTTCTCTTCATCAAACAATGAATACGTATATACATCTAGATATAAATCAGAAAACTATTCTGAATTGTATGCAATTATCGCACATATTCATTTTATATATTTTATTTATTTTGCCAGTCATAATTGACGGAGAATCAAAATTCTCTTGCTCGATGATGGTCATTATGTATCAATTATTTATTCATATTGAAGGTATAAATATATAATAAAAATTACGGAATCATGTCGGATCAAAATAAAGGTAAATTTGATTCCCTCCTTAAAATTCTGCTTTATTCATCATCAAACGAAGTAGAAATATTTGAATCACCCGTCATTCTTGAAGAATTAGCTTCTTTTTCTTTATAATATATAAATTTCACTCATTTTATTAATTCATAAACTAACTCTAAACCATCTTGATTCCCTTTCCTATAAAAAATGGATTTCCTACTTATGAACATTCCTACTAATACATCATTTTACATGTAAAAATATATTATGACTACTACTGAATAAAAATATTATAAGTCAGTATAATATAATACTTAAATGCTCAGTCAGAGATTTTAAAAGCCCATGTATTTAAAAAAACTGATAACTTGTTAGATATATGTTGTCTGATTAGCAATTATGATATTTTAAGATATTTGAATTAATATATATATATAAATATTATTATGACTCATGAAAATTTTTGGACTTGGTTAAGGGTCAATAGAATATTTAGTGCTAAATATGATATATTTAAACAACATATTTGATTTATAATAAACAGTGTTTTATTTAAATCTTAAGAACAAAAAATTTAATTATTTCAGCTAAGTGTAACTTTTTCTGATAATATAATTTTAAATTAAAGCCTTATTTTTTTAAAAAAGATATATAGAAATTTTATTCTTAGATTTTTATAAGCCTTTTACTTTAAAAAAACTTTAAATATTAGATTGCATGTTGGATGATGATTAGTCTGATTAGAGATTATGATATTATATTTAAATTAATATATAAAAAAAACTATTATTATGAATCAGAGAGGATTGGGCAGTAACGCAAATATTTTTATATAAAATACTAAATACAAATTATTTTTTGTGTTTATATTTATTTGAATATTTTAGTAAGTATTTGTATTTATATTTTAAATTCTAAAAAATTAAAAGTATTTATTTAGTATTATCGATCTTTTTAATTTCATAAGAAATGCAAATACAGATACTATAAATTGAATTTTAATTGTAAATCAACTATTTATTAATTTAATAAATATTAGGTTTTTGACCCGAATTCGAGTTTAATTGACAAAAAATATAGATTCCACCAGTTCGGCTGTTTGATAGACGAGAAAAATATAGAGTCGGCTAAGTTTTTTTATATTAAGCTATAACAATTTCTACAGGGAATCTGTTACAAATCAACATTCTCTTTTAAATGTAATTTTACCATTTTAGATGGTAAATTTTAGTGTTGTAAAAAGTCAAATCCATTCAACTCAGAGTCGATATTCTACTAACTTAGTTCACAACTCGAGTCGTGAACTCGAAGACGAATAGTTATCAATTATTATTGTTTTATTTTAAAAATGTTTGCAATGTGTATGAAAGGAAGTGGAGTAAACCCTAAGGGAAAAAATAAATAAAAAAAAATTCTTACTTTCATAAGTTTTTATTGATAAAATTATATTATAAAAAATATAATATAGATGGAGCCATTTCAAATAAAAAATTATTATTTTTTTATATTAAAAATAAAAAGTGTATAAAAAGATTGGTAAGATTAATAAATTTTTTAAATTTTTTATAATTTTTTAATATTAAGAATAGTTTAAAATATTTATTTAAAAATGATATTTTTTGTGGACCCGGTTAATAGAAGCATAAATACCCAGTTCATCGAGTGTCCTTTGCGTGACCTCAAAACAAAATATGTTAAATCTGGGTCCCAGTTTATGGAAGATTACATAAAACCTTATTTATTTAAAGAGAGAAAATATAAATCTATTGATATCTTTAAAAATGTTTTAGAATATTTTATTTAAGTTGTTATACATTTTTATATTTTAAATTTAAAAAATAAATTTAAATAAAGTCTAAGTATTATTGCTCAGAATATGAATTAGAAATAAAACTTATAAGTAATGATATAAGTGTCCATTAAGAAAGAATCAAAGTCTAAATTACAAATCTGCACTGCATCTTTATAACCCATAAAGATTTTTACCCAATTAGACCTTCTATTTAATTAAATTTTATCCTGTCCCTCCCATTTTTATTTTTATTTTTACAAAAAAATAGCTAAATAATTTTCTATAATAAAAACATCAATCAACAAAAAAATATTAAAAAAATATATGTGTAAAAATTAACAACCAATGGTTTTCGATAATAAAAATATTATTCAACAAAAAATAAGAAAGGAAGGAAGGAAGAAAGAAAGAAAGAAAAACAAACTATAATCTTACCCAGAGTTGTTAACGCTCCTTTTTAAAAGTAGCTAGCTCCCTCTCCCGCTCCTACCTTCTCAAAAGGAGCTAGTTCCCGCTTCCGCTACTACATTTTTAAAAGGAGCTAGCTCCCGCTCCAAGTAAAGGAGTGCCACTCCATAACCGCTCCTTTGATTTTTATTTTTTTAGAAGGTATACGAAACAAAATCATATTTTTTTATCAAAAAGTTTTAATTTATAAACTTTTATTAACCCTCAAAAGTAGTGTTGTTAAACGGCTCGTTTTGAGCCGATTTTTAAAAACGGCTAACTCAATATTTCATCCAGAATAGTATTACGCAAGCCTGAAGATTTTGTTTGTAGAAGGAATAAAGGTTTGGACATCTATTAGCGAAATCTCGAGGCTTAGGGAATATTTTTCTTGCTAAAATATTGAGTTAGCCGTTTTTAAGAATCGGCTCAAAACGAGCCGTTTAACAACACTACTCAAAAGTAATAAATTTTCTAAATTAGAATCCAACAAACATCCACGCCTCTCCCCTAAGACCTGTTTTGCAAATACTAAGTAAGCGCTCCATAGGAGCACTAGAGGGAAGCGGGATTAACGATATTTTTTAATTCAGGTATAAAAAAAAGAGGTTGAACAATTAATGAGAAAATTAAAATAAATATTAAAATATATTTAAAAAAGCATCATATCTAACAACCCAAACTCAACTATAATGAATTGCCCAAAAATAATTATAACCAATTTTAAAAAAACTCCAAATAAAAAAAAATATAAGATTTTTTACTTTTAGATGCTTTTTTAGATTGGAGCTGCTCACTTTTGAAA